GAAGCTCATTCCTTTTTTGAGTCAGATTTGGAGGAATTTGCTGTAGATGTACGCGGGCTTCTAGAGGGGTGGTTCCCAAGATCATATTTCCTTCTCTGGGGTGCAGTTAGGATGCTAGATATACAGGAGGTATGGCGGATCCTTGACTTGAGAAGCTCCGTATGGCATGCCACAGTCCTGAAGTGGCTTCATGGTGGATATGCAAATGTTTGACTACGTAGTGGTGGAGGGTTCGGGTGGTAGGTCTCAGGCATCCAGACTAAACAGGTTTCACAACTTGCAGACCCTCCCGTTAAACATTCCAATGGCCAATTGCCGCCCCTAATTTTACATGAATTCGCCATGTAGTGTCTGGGTTTGAAGTTCTGCAAAACGGATGCCATGCCTGCGCAGAGTTAGAATATCTGAAAACTTATTGGACCCCCTGTATGGCTATGTTTACAGTACAGAACATCTTAATGATTTATGCATGCTGCATGCAGGCACGGGGTATGTGAGTTCCGCTTGCCAGAGGGCATTGAAGATCCTATATGAGCTATAGTCTAAACTCCTTAAAGGAGGTTATATAGGGGACTCTATAGGGGACTATTATGGGGGTTATTAAGGGGGATACTAGGAGTTTAGACTATAGCTCATATAGGCAAAGAGTGGTTTTGATAGCAGATACATTTTGGAAGGAGGTTTAAGGCTCAAGCGCCGCATGGTTGCACCCATCCATTCGCACCCTGGCATGCGTCCTAGGTCCCATTTATGGCTTGAGCCTCGAAACCTAGATTCCCTTTGGGGCTTCAGGGTCTACAACCTATTCACCTGAGATCTCCCTTCAGGTTCTATCAAGGACTATTATCATTACTATCACTTTGATGCTCATTGTTACCACTACCCTTATTATGCTGATTATTACTACTACTATTACAACCTGAGGTTATTGGCCGAGTCGATCGGCTCTGTCCGCTCGATGTGCGAGAGAGTTTGCTGAGCTCCTTCCAAGTGCCCGGGAAGCAAGGTTTAGGGTTCGAATTCAGGGTTTAGATTCAGTGTTTAGGGTTTCAAATTCGGGTTCAGGGTTCAGGGTGTAGGGTTTAGATTAAGGGCTGGAGGCTCCACGCACCTTTTGACGGGGTTTGAGGAGACCCATGGTAGTGTTGAAGACCGTTTGATCAGGAAATGACCTGACAAGGTTTCAAGGGCCGGTTTGGTAGATTTTTGGAAGAAAGGGGTCCCTCTTTAAAATCCCGGCTGTATTATCCTTACCCCAAAAAGGGAATCCCTAGTTTTTGGAAACCCTAACCCTGTAAACTCCTAAGTAGTCCTTGTTTCCATGTTCTTTTTGCATGTTCCTCTCCGTTTGCTTCTCGATTCTTTGGGGCGATATCCCAGAAGCCCGTATAGTCCATAGATAACCCTATATAATCCCTATATAATTCCACACAATCCGCATATAAGAGCATACATGATCCTTACATAATTCATGTATAGCCTTTTATAGCCTTAAATAATCCTCATCTAATCCTTATATAATCCTCCGAAATCTGGATATGATCTTACATGCTCGCAAAAGCCAGACAAAGGAGCTCGCTGTGCCGCCCCTGGTCCGCCCAGCGAGGGCCACATGGCCTGGGGGCCCACAGAGCCAACTACTCCTGGAGGCCCCAAGAAGACCGGACCAATTTTAAGGACTCACCCGACCTCACCGGGATGGTCCCAAATTGGGGTAATGTGGGGTTATGACATTCTGTTCAGAAAGGCCAGAGGAGCTCTTCTTCTGGGAGTGCTGGACTTTGAGTTGTCCTGATCTCTGCTTGCAGGTCCTCGCATCAGTTCCTCAGGATCCAGCCAGGCACGCATGCACTCGAGCGTCCAATCAGAATTAAGCGCCTCTCCCTCGAACGCGCAGGCGTGCGAAGCAGGGATATTCGGGCCGCTTCCTCGAAATCCTCGAGGAGGCGACGACATGCGACGACGCAACTTCAGCATGCTGAGTTATGACGGTCACTGGCCGGCTTTTCATTACCCCAAATTATAGATGGTGGGTTTATTGGGAAGAGGATCGCGTTGGACCAAGCGTTTTCATGAGCCCCAGAGCGAGATTTCCTTCTTTTGCGATCGGGAGCTTTCGACAGCTTCTGTGTTTGCGGCAACGAAACTTTCCTGTCTCATCTCATGAAGAAACCCATCACCTATCATAATGCTTGCCCATGCTGCATAGTGTCAAGCATACACGGGTGAGAGACACTCACCATACACCATGCCTTTTTTTGATTGCGCGGGTCTTTTGGACACCTAGTAGTTTCCATGCTCTTTTCCTTTATCCCTTAATAACCACTATAAAACCCATAATATGCAAATTCTTGACACGCTGTGCTTTTTGATGTCCCTGTGTTTGGGGCCAGATGAGGGCAGGACCCGTCAGTTTGAGGCCCTAGGGCCCTAGGGTTCTGTGGGTTATATAGGGCCATATATGGGTTATATAGGGTATATAGGAGTTATATAGGGATAATGGAAAAGAAAATGGACACTATTACAATGGGGATATATAGGGTCAAAATTTCAAACCATTAACTCCAAAGCCTTCGCCCCAGACCTGACCTACACAAAAAAGTAGCAAAGTGCCATTTCCAGGAGGCTCCTGGAGAGAAGTCTGCGCGCATGGAGGATGCCAGGCAGATCAATTTGTGCTACTTCGTGCCGATCCTACTTGGCATTACAATGGAGGCCACAGGTGTGCAGTCCCCCAGGTAGAAGAAAATAGATAGGCAGGGTTTCAAGGAGGAGAGATTAGAGGGCCCACTAAAGCTTAGAGGGTGATTTCTTGCAGCTTTCCGCCGGAGCTCTGTTGAGCTTAATATGGATTGAGGTTTTTTGCAAACTTCGGAGATTCGAGAATGAAAGAAACAGTTGAGCTTAATATGGATTGAGGTTTTCTGCAAACTTCGGAGATTCGAGAATGAAAGAAACAGGGGACTCCGGTGAGATGACAATAGCTCTTGAACTGTACTGCAAAGTATTTCGCCAAAGGAGATGGGAGCAAACATAATTGAACAGAAATACAATTTCCCATATGAATTCTTTCTTTCGGTGCGCTGATGGTTCAGTTTTCTGCTGGTTTCGGAGGCCATCAGGACTTGGGCCAGCCCCGGCAGAAGGGCCTGTGTGCTCAGCACAGCTTAGTCCCGCGATGTTTCTGTCTGCTGATTGCTGGCACGTCTGCCTCAGTCCGCAAGGGATGCGTCGAAAGCTTGCACTGCCGCCGAGGCTCTCGTCCTTCCCATTCTGCTCCGGCGTTTGCTCCGGGAAGGGTCTGGACTGAGCCCCACTCATTATGTCAAATGTACAAAGAGCGGCCACAAAAGGTGGCCTGTGACTGGTGAAAGCATCGGTCCAGCTCGACGAGAACCAAATCCCAGGTTTAGTGGTCGGATGCCCTGCGAGCACATTGCAGGAAGAGGCCTCCAAAGGTCCAAACTGCTTGCTGCCTGGTGCTGCCCAAAGTAGGCGAGCACGTGACAACAGAGCCCGTGTTCTGACAACTAGGACGAGCCTATGGCAAAACAGCAGTGACCTGTTCTCATACAGGTAGCATTGAGTCCTCAACACTAGCAGGAAACCGAGCAGTCTGCTCTGACTGGTTGCAGGCTCCCCTCAGTGCGGAGCAGAAGGAGGCGACACGAGCTACCCAAATCACGTCTGTCATAATAGTAATAGTAATAGGCAGAATAGTAAATAGGCCAGTAGTAAATAGTAATAGGAACAGTAATGATAGTGGTAACAGGAATAGTAGTAGTAATAGTGTATCCATATTCTGGGTGTCTAAGTTTACAAATAATACCTGCATTAGACCCTAAAGGTACGACGGAATGTGCTGTGTCTAGCAGTGTGTGGTTGTGGATGTGGTCGAAGTGAACGTTAGTATGGGTGCCGGCATGGGTTCACTTGTTTTGGATGCGGTCGTGGTGAACATCATCATGGGTCTGGGCATGCATGCGCCAGTATCTTGTTTCGCTGTAAAGAGCAGTAGTCTTGCAGTTCTGGAAGTATCTTTTTGGCTGCTATGACGGTGGATGTGCACGTAACATGAAGGTGCTGCGGGCAACTAAGGGGGGAGTGAGGGTAAAGGTAGGGAAAACGTCCTTTGACTTGGGTATTTCTCAATATTATCCCTATACAATCCCTAACAAGGACCCCCATAATCCCCATATAATCCCTATATATTTTCTGGGGTCCCTAGGGTACCCCCTTTTTGGGAAACCCCCACTTTAGACTGTTCAGCAGACGTCAAGGCAGTCGCGGCGAAGTTCAAGGACCTCGTCGCTGGAGGCGGCCTGGGTGGATGCACACTTTTATCATGGCTGATCCGAGGAGTTCTCAAAGCTACTGTTGGTAATGTTAGGGTTATATTGGGGTTATGTTGGGGTTATTTTGGGATAATGATAAATATAATGGAAAGTACTAGTATGGTTTCTGTTTGATTTGTCCCTTTGGACAGAACTTGTTTTGGTGGGTTTCCGATTTTGGCAACATGCCATCTGCTACGCATTGCAGACGCCTCAACATGAAGCACTGAAACTCAGAAAGACACAGTGCTGTGCATTGTTAATCTGCAACTAGGTAGGGATACCAAGCTATCACCAGGTAATCTTCTGTAGTCGTTAAATCCCTTCCGCGTGATAATAAACATACCCCTCCCCCACTCATTGCCCCCGAGTATTCATTATTAAGGGTGCTACCCATTGCAACTAACTAAGACAGTTGAAATCTAATGAAGGTCTAAGCAAAGCGAGTCAGCATCGTAATGATGCAAAAGGCATTCAGACTTTATATGAGCTCCTTCATTAAACAACCTTAATATAGGCCCCCAAAATACAATAATCCTTGTAGCAGGGATGCCCACAAAGGTACTCCTAATTTTGGCAAACCCCCAATACCCCCGCATATAATAATCCCCCCATGGAAACCCTCATGCAATGTACATCCTGAGTTCTTGATCTGCCGTGCAAGGCATGGCGCCCAATGAAGCCGCGCTGGAAGCGATAAGGCAAGCCCCCTGCAAAACGGTTTTAACAGGTCTTCCAGGTCCATGGTCTGCAATCCAGTGAGCTACAGTCTAAATTCCTAGT